CATCCCGACTCATTTTCGCTGGAATTTGACTTTGTGAGAATGATGGGTATCACTTAAACTGATTACAGAGGGTGGTATCTTGATAATTACCTTAGTTCAATTTTCAATAGAAACGAATACTACTTTCGTCAAATTGAACACTCTTTCCTTTTTTGTGTTATTTTTCCCGATGTTTTTTTTCTCACCCTACACCAGAAATGGTAGCGGGTCTAACTAACTAACTAACAAATAAAGGTCAATTTCCAGCGAAAATGAGTCGGGATGATCGAAGCCTCCATTCAAATTGGAGATGTCCAGTAAGGGCGGTATTACTGTAGTTATAAAAAATGAATCAAAGCGAGGATTTACCATATTCCTATTGTTAGAAAAGCAACAGTCACATTTTTATTTGTTTATTTCATCACGGAATGGAGTTCAATTCTTTCAGAAAAGGACTTGCGAATGTGTGGATGAGCGCTACTTGTTCGAAATATACATAAAAAAACATACACAGACTATCGGATTAGTGTTTTTAGACACAATTAGAAAATGGAATATATAATTGCGATATATGAAATTCATGTCTGTTTTTAATTTTGTTAATTAACAATATGTCTAACGTTAAGTTTAACTTGTTTGTTTTAATTTTTGACCTATTCGATTTCATAGTAGTTTTCTTTTGTCTTGCAGAGAGTTGTTTTCACATATATATTATAAAATCCCATATTTTGATTCGAACCATTAGCCAACGCATAGCCCATGCTCAGATAAGCTCTCCCAGCAACTACATGATTATAGTTATTGTCATTCAAACACACCTTCTCCGTAAGTGTTGTAGCCTTGACTTCGATGGACTTTGCGCTTTCATGCGAGTCTCTTATGGATGAGACCTGATATCGGTAATCAGTTCCAGAATTCAAACCTGTATCTGTATATGATGCGAGGCTAGCATCTGCCACCTTATTCCCGTTACGATAAACGTTGTATGTTTTCGCGCCTGAAGCTGATTCCCATTTCAAAGCAATCGAATTGGAAGTTAAATCAGTAACTGTTAAGCCATTCGGTGTTTCTACAGCTGGCGGTTCGCCTGTTGTTTTACCACTGACTGAATTTGAAGCTATACTTTCAGTGCCTGACGATGAAACAGCTTTGACAGTGAATGTATATGTTGTACCAGAATGCAAATTATTGTCTGTAAACGTGGTGCTACTTATTAGTCCACTATTGGTTTTACCACCATTTCTGTAAACATTATAACCGCTCGCACCTGAAACTTGCTTCCACAAAAGAGAGACTGAATTGTCTGTAGTATCACTGACCTCAAGTCCTGTTGGTCCATCGATTGGACTGAAACCACTCGTTATATGATCAATCATTTTTTTCATAGCAGTCAGTTGTTTACCACTTTTTACGTCGAAATCAGTTCCATACCATCCAATCCAGTCCCAACATCCATTCATGTTTGGAAACGGTGCTCTAGTTGCCAAACGCATCATACTTGTGACTACCGCTTGTGGGTACACAACTATGATATTATTGGTATCGGCCCAACGATTATACCCTGTATTTTTGACGTACTTATCACCAACTTTTTCGTAGCCCTGTAGACAACCGTGATATGCTAGATGCAATTTACAAGTTTCTCCATCAGCACAGCTTTTAGGCACATAAACCCACGCCGTGTCATCCAATCCATAACTTCTTGGATTAGTTAGAAAGTCTGCCTGACTGAATTCAATAAATTTTCCACTCAGTACCCCATTATTTCTTGGCTGCAAAGGCCCGTAAATATGCTCGAGTATAGCTCCTGCCCCATCAAAGCCACAGTTACTTATATAAGGACTACTTGCGGTCCCACAACCATTATTACCAGCACTATCGGATTAGTGTTTTTAGACACAATTAGAAAATGGAATATATAATTGCGATATATGAAATTCATGTCTGTTTTTAATTTTGTTAATTAACAATATGTCTAACGTTAAGTTTAACTTGTTTGTT